ATAAAGTAGGAGCTGTAAGCTAGGTGTATTATAGACAAGGTCCGTGATATATTCATCTGTGATATGGGGAGTTTTTCTTTTCCTATTGAGGGGTTAAGCGAGTTTGATATGCCTTTTGAGTGCTAAACCCCAAATCAGAAATATGAATAATCTTCAAATGAATTCCTGAGATTTAAGGTTACAGCGACAATTGATTATTTATGGTAAGGGTACCTTATAATGCAGCAATTTAATCCCCCTCACCCCATCTCACCCTCTCCTCCACCTCCACTTCCGAATCCAATTTTTTTTTGAACAGAAAAAACGCTTCTGGAGATTTTTGCAGGTGCCAAAATAAATAATGATTCGCCCACCTTATTGCTGAGGCTTTTGCTCGCAACCAACATTAAAGAACCAAAGTGGATGTGAAGGCACGCGACTTAGCATTTTATCTGCTAATTCGCCCAAAATTCTGCTCTGCAAAGTGAGACTGTGGAGAATTGAATTCCAGGGCCACCCTTGGTTTCTCACCCACAGTGCTCGCACCAAGCTGCATAGCTATTGATAATAAAAAAAAAGTCCTGCTTCCTTAATACCCGCATAATAGCTTTGTGGTTGAGGCTTTCGACCTACAGTCAGCTCCGCTCTCTGTTCCTCCTCTCTCCCCGCACCCCCGCACCGTGCCCCGTTTTCTCAATCCCAGTAACAATACTGTGCACGATCCTTTCATTTGACCTAACACCTCGTCATGTCGTCGAGACATCCCAGAACATTTCACAGGATTTTACTGTGAAGCAGTGACTGTGTGTTTTATAAGATCATCAACCGCCCCACAAACAGCCACGGAGCCAGTGACCAATTTTATTTGGGGGATCCTCAGTCAGGACACCGGGAGAAACTCCCTTCTCTTTTCAAATAGTGCCATGAGATCTTTAATGTCCACCTGAACAGATACGGATGGGACCTCAGTTTAACGTCTGATCTGAAGCACGGCACCTTCTACATTGCAGCACCCCCCCCAGCACCGCACTGTTTCCCCGCTCAGAATATAAAACATTTAACTGTTTATCTCCCAATATGCAGTGCCAGGTGGCGCTGGCAGGAGATAAGGGTTAACAGCAACTGTGTCAGTAATGGAAGTAAAGTAGATAATCTCTAGCCATGGTGTAAGGGTTGATACTGAGACGCAAACAAATATGTGTGAAAAGCTATTACAGTCTTGTCTGAGAACGATCAACTCTTGTCAGCCTGACTCATTCGTTAGCACTCTGGCCTCCCGAGTCAGAAGGCTACAGGTTCAATATAATAATATAATAGCAAGCCTTGCATTTGGTATACCAGTTTATCGAGCTGTTGAGACGCGTCAAAGCGCTTGACAGAATATACAGTCAATTCCGTGTACAGTATATTCCGTGAAGCGCTTTGAGACGTCTCAATGATCACGACAACAAGAGCAACTTATAATAATAATAATATTGCATTTAATATAGCGTCTCTGACGCAGGGAAGCGTCCCAGAGCGCTTGCGATAATGATAATGGTGTGATAAGGCACTATTAATAGATGCAAGGACTATTATTATTATTATTATTATTATTATTATTATTTCTGATGGGGATGGACTGTGGTAACCAGGGACAGGTTTGAGGTCTGAATCCCGGGCTGTGATACGTAGGCTGGGAAGCATGATTGGTGACTAATGCCCTCCCTGCCTCGCCTCACATCAGGGTCATGTTGAGTCAAAAACAATCACATGACAATGGAGGCAGTAAAGGTCAGTCAAAGACAGGCGAAAGGCACCCGCAGTCTGGCTGACCTTCTAAGCCTGTGACAAATTGCCATCAGTCGATGTGCGCTAATGACAAACTCCACTCAGGGCGATCAATTGACTTTTTTTATTTAAAAAAAAAATGGTTCACGCGAGAGAGAGTAGGAAAAAAAAACCCTACTTACAGGTCAGCTCGTCTCACCTCCCCCTCCCCGCCCGCCCGCCTGCCCTCTCCCTCGCTCTCTCGCTCACGTAATATAAAAAGCTTTATTTTTGTTCATTTCAGTTTGTTTGTTGAGTGTATTGCAGGATAGTCAGTTAGCCTGCAAATGCTCTTTCTCCTCCTTTGCCCCCTGCCCTCCGATCCCTCTCTCTCTCTCTCTCTCTCTCTAACCTTCCTTCCCTCCCTCTCTCTAACCCCTCCAGGCTAATGCAGCAATACACACACACGCACTGCCTTGTGCATCGTTGAGGTAAAAAAAAAGGCAGTGTGCTGGAGCCTGCCAGATCCACAATGTTACAGCACTGGCTGGAAACCAGTGAGAGGCCCAGGCACACACAGTATTGATAGCCATGTCCATGCAATCATGTCTAGTGATGTTTAAATGGCATCTTTTGCCAGCTTCCGGTCTCTGCTTTAAAGCTCACAGCAGTTTCTCCTCTTTAATTCTCTGCTGCCTTCGCCCATTCCGTGTTGCCAGTCTGGCTCGGACAGTGGGGCTCTGTCTTTTGCTCAGGCCAGCGCTCCATAATGTGGGAGACACCGTCCTTCGGATGAGACGTCATAATATAATAATAATCCTTGCATTTGATATAGGGCCTTATCACGTCATTGAGATGTCTCAAAGCGCTTCACAGAATATACTGTGTACTTTGTGGGCGAAACGGGGCAGCCAATTGAGTACTAATAGTAGTGGATTGACTGACGAAATTATTATTCTTTTAAACGGAGGAGAAGATGGTGGGGAGAGGGGAAGAGGGAGGGGGAGGGAGGGGGAGGGGAAAGACGTTAGCCAATGCATAATTGGAAAAATGTGAAAAATGAAGTGTCAGTTCGGTCGATAAAGAGCAAAGGTCAAGAGGGAGCCACAGCCTTAACTCTATATGAAACACGCTCATTAAAACATCCAGTCAGAAGGCTTCTTCCTACCTATCCCATTAGTCATTAGACATCTGACTGTTTCCAATGCCTGGCTCTCTTTGCGCTCTTATTACTTGCTATTTATTTTCTCTCTCTCCCCCTCTCTTCATCTGAAAAGGCAAGCGGGTATATAAATCGTCGTTGATTCATCTGGCGTTTAATGTAGCACCTCTCCCTCGCCCCGCACAGCCCTGACACAACCCAACCACATTCACATTCCCTTCAATAAGGACTGGGCTGCCTAGAACGTACCACCCACACTCTCTCAAGAGACTCGCTTGCTCACTCACTTAGTCACCTACACTCACTCACTCACCTACACACACACTCACTCACTCACACTCACTCATCTGCACACACTCAATTACACACATGCAACTCACCTATATGCACACACACACCTACACACGCATACACACACACACACATGCACCCCACGTACTCACACACCCACACAAAAATCCACACACACATAGAAAAGCTCACAAACATACACACGCTCACCCTCACACCAACTCTCATACATCCTCCACATTCACACTCACCCACACCTACACACACTCACCCACCCACAAATAAACACACCACCACAATAAAATACAAAATTACATTTGTAAGGCGCCTTTCACGTCGGGAAGACATCCCAAGGCGCTGAGCAGTCAGGGACCTGAGGCGGAGGTGGGGGGGGGGTGGGGTGGTGGTTAGGATCAGGGAGGGTGAAGGGCGGGGTAGGAGGCTGGCCGAAAAGGAGGGTCTTGAGGCCTGCCTTGAAGGAGGCAAGGGAGGGAGCGACGCAAAGGGTACGTGGGATGGATTTCCAGAGGGTGGGGGCAGAGTGACTGAAGGCCTGACCGCCAATGGTGGGCGGAGGACATGGAGCAGGCCAGAGCCTGCTGAGCGGAGGGAGCGGACAGGTTGATAAGGGGTTAGCAGGTCAGAGAGGTAGGAGGGGGCAAGGCCATGGAGGGCCTTGAAGGTGAGGTTGAGAATTTTGAACGCGATCCTCTGAGGGATGGGGAGCCAGTGGAGCCAGGCGAGGGTGGGTGTGATGGGGTCATGGAGCCTGGTGCAAGAGAGTACAAGAGCTGCAGAGTTCTGGATGATCTGCATCTCGTGGGGGAAGAGTTGAGAAGGCTGACAAGCAGGGCGCTGGCATAGTCAAGCCTGGTTGTAATGAAGGCGTGTATGAGGGTTTCGGCGGCCTGAGGGGTGAGGCAGTGGCAGAGTCGGGCAACGTTGCGGAGGTGGGGAAAGGCAGAGCGGGTCATGGCTTGGATGTGGGGGAGAAAGGACAGTTGAGGGTCGAACAAGACGCCTAGGTTCCTGACTGGCTCAGTGAGGTTGAGTGTGCAACCGTGGATGCTGATGCTGCCAGTGCCTGAGGTGCGGAGGCAATCAGGAGACCCTCGGTCTTGCTGACGTTTAACTCCAAAAAGTTGGCTCTCATCCAGGACTTGATGTCTGACATGCAGTCTGTCAGATATTGTCAGATATTGACCAATCACGTAAACACCTTTCCCGCAATTTTCTCTATCTCTCTCTTTCTCACACACACACAAGCCTGAAAACACAACCACAACATTCAGAAGTTCATGAGAATGAGAGCTCATTTAATTTGAATAAATCCATTAGCATTGTTTCATTTAAATGCACTGAATGAACCATGAACCAGCTCTGTTTCTCTTTTTTTTTAAAAAAAAGACTCTTTTTATCAACAAAGCTCAAATTGTCCCCCTTTTTTATTCTCACAAACCGTTAACCGAAACACTTCGAAAACCAAAGTAAGGACCAAAAAACGGTGGCTGGCTCGGTCACCCACAGAATGCCACCGGTTTTCATCCCAGAACTTGTTACAATATCACATCCTATCGCTTGCGAGGCGCGTGCTCTAACCAATATGCTATAGGACGTCACAGGCGGGCAAAGGGGGGAAGGGGGGTGGGGCGTGGGGGGCTGTAGAACCATTACCCCAACTATCAAGTCATGGGCTGCACGAGGGGATAAACATAAGATAAGGGGCAAAAGGAAAACCACTGTCCAAACCGCTCATTTTCCTTCCACCGCTCCCGTACCCCAAAGGTACTGTGGGCTGTGCTCCGAGCTGCTGGCTTACCTTGCTCGCTGCTGTTGTCACCGCTGTGTGATGTGTGACCCCCGCTGGACGGCCCCGGGGTCCCTCCTGACCGCGTTGATGCTGTGTCGTCGTGGTCCCTGTTCCAAGTCTGAAATTGCGAAGGGCAATGATCAGGGCGCGGACATCACTCACTCACTGCATCCGCTGAGACTCCGGCTCAAAGTCTCTGTTTAACAGGTTCCGAGATCCCACCTCTCCTCGCGTTCAAATCCCCCCGTGGCCTCGTCCCGGTCCCCCCATCCCTCACGCCACACACACCACCTCCCAACCTCTGCCAGCTGACCTCCCCATCCCCTCCCTCCCTCCCTCCACATCATGTTCTGTCCCTGTCTGATCTGCCCCATTTGATACACGCCTTTCATGTCAGGACATCGCAAAGCACTTTGCAGGATACACTGTAAGGTGCAGTGACCGTGCCTGTTTTTGCAGGCAAACACGGCAGCCAATTTGCACACAGCAAAGTCCCACAAATAACTGGGATGGGGACCCCAGGAAGGGTGATTGAGGCCAGGATGCTGAATTAAGTTAAGAAACAGCTCGATGCAGTAACAGGGGAACAGGAGGCTGTTCTGGAGGGATGATATCGGACGGGCTGAAGGGTTCTCTTCATTTGAAACCTCTTTAGTGATCCCGTCCTTTGGAAGAGTCATTTAAACCAAGGTCAGGTGGATGTTAAAGATCTTGTTGTGCTACTTGTTAAAGAGAAGGGAGTTTCTCCTTGTATCCTGGCCAACAATCCCCAGATCAAAATCGGTTATTTACTTCCTGGCTGTTTGTGGGACACTGCTGTGTGCAAATTAGCTGCCGTGTTTCACCCACAAAATACTGTCACTATAGTGCAGCGCACTATATACGTGCAAGTTGTTGTTGTTATTTTGTCCACAAAACATACAGTCCATTCACTTTACAATATATTAAAATACAAGGATTATTATTATTATTATTTTTAATAATAATAATAGAATACAGTAATAACCAAACTGAGACACTACACCATGTGAAGAGCGCTATATTAATGCAAATTGTTGTTGTAATATTCTATGAAGCGCTTTGAGACGTCTCCTCAAAGGCACAATATCAAGTGCAAGGATTATTATTATTATTATTATTATTATTATTGCATTGTGACTGCTTCCTGCACAGATCTACACATATCCCTCCTGCCCTGGCATTCAGAGGGAAGAGACTCAGAAAGAGAGATGAACAAATAGGGAAAAAGGAAATTCATCTCAATTAAAAACTGCATCGTTCCCTGTGTGCCCCTTTCATTCATTCATTGATTCATTGATTCATTCATTCATTCATTCATTCATTCCTTCATTCATTCATTCATTCATTCATTCTCTTTCTCTCTCTCTCTTTCTGTCATATACATGAACACATCTCTATTCAATTCCAGATAACAGAAGTTCCTCACCCTGTGTGTTCCCTTTGGCAACATTAAACCCTGTGTCATAAAAATCAAACCCTGCATGGCTCGGCCCATCATATACACTAACTGTCCTCACTGTCACAACAAAACACACAGTCACTATACTTAACAGTATATATTGTGGAGTCCTGTAGCATAATGATTTGACACAATGCCTTATCATGTCTGGAAGATGCCTCAGAGCGTTGAACAGGGTATTGAGACATCTCAACGATGTGAGAAGGTGCTACATCAAATACAAGGATTATTATTATTATTGTACATCCGGTCTGGATCTACAATAATAATAATCCATGCAATTAAACAAAAACACGCGGACGCTAGAGCAGCAGATTGTGGATTGACTGTATTTTGTAATGCGGCAAAAAGTAAACAGTCGTGGATTGAGTGATATTTTTTTTACGTATTATTACCACCGGAAAGCAATCCACCAATTGACGAACAACCAGGTTCCTACTTACTGTTAGGTAAACAGCGCTGCGTGGAGTAAGGCAACTTGCCTGAGCTTTTACACCGGCCGGGAATCGAACCCGGGTCCTCTCGCTTGCAAGGTGAGCGCGCTAATCACTACGCTACAGGACTCCACAAGAGAGCAGGAACAAAAAGGAAACTTCAAGCCCCAAACTATAATTACAGGGAAAGCGGCTTATTTGTAGCAGTGCAAGTGAACAGGAATAGTAAAGTTAAGCTATAAAAAAGGCTGCTGATCCTATAATTTCGAGCATGTTGCTTGGCTTCAAAGAGCAACTCTCTCTCTGCCTCCTCTTGCAACAAAAAAACTGTTAACAGTCGACTATATGACTCGACTGTTGTACAAAGCCGCACAATGTGAAATAAAAGTCCAGGCCAGAGGGGGAGAGAGAGGCTTAATCACTTGTTTGGTAATTAAACCAGGTTGGAGTTTGGCCACACATTGTCAGCTGCTCGCTGATCAGTATGTGGCAAAACGGACCAGACGTGGGATAAAATGAAAACAAGAGTAACAATGAGTTTCCCATGGACTGTGTACACTCAACCCCATGCCAGGCCACCTTGTAACATTGAGAAAAAACAGATGTGGCTCCTTATCACTGGGTACGTTTCAAAGTAACTTTCAGATAGAGAGTGTGGGGGGGTGGGGGGAGCGCGGAAGGGAGGGTGGGAGGTAGTGGAGGAAGGCAGGGTCAGGGTGAGGGGGTAGAGGGTGGGGGAAGGAAAAAAATCCGCCTGTAAAATCGATTCCGCGACAGAAAAAGCGTTTTTACCGTAGCTCCCCTCCTTACGCTGCCCTTTATCACCATACAAGAAAAAAAGGATTCTAATTAGCTTTTAGTGCAAGCTTTTAAAAAGGCTCCAATAAGTTCCAGACCATCCCACACAGGCTTTTATATGTAATGGGATAAGCTTACTCGTAGTGTATTATAGTCTTAAGTTAGCTTAAGGTGGAATAAAGGAACTATTTTAAAAACATGACTAAAAATATCTCACCATGGGGTTGCAAACAGTGCTAATTCCTCTTTAGAGCTCCTGTTTTCAATACCGCTGCATACAGTTGCTAATAAGGTCCTATGTTCGGATGGTTTGCTGACATAGGAACACAACTTGAGTGAATGTTGCAGAGCAGGATTTTTTATTTTATACGTGAACACCTGATAACTCGTCACTTAATGGGGAAAAGGCTCAGCGACGAGTTATCAGCAATGGCCAAACAGGCACTTAAATAATCCTCGTCGTTGAGACGTCTCAAAGCCCTTCATAGGATATATTGCAATCCATGTCAGCCCAGTTTCCGCGCACCAAGGGGTTGAGTTACCAGGAGTTTACAGTGGTTACAATTGACAAAGAGGATTTTGTGTTCAGGATGGCAGTGGCGATAGTTGCATTGGCCTCTTCTTTCCCTATCTTCAGGTCACGCCTGAAAACCTTCCTCTTCGACCGCGTTTACGGTCACCTCCCCCCAGCTCGGCATTCCGTTCCGCCACCGTCAAGCGCTCTGGGACTCTACCTTGAGTGAGTGCTGCTATATAAATGCAAGTTGCTGTTGTTGTCGTGTGTGTGTGCGTTGCAGCCGGGTGAGGAGAGGTCAGGCTCGACTGTGTCGCCTTCTACAAGTGGACTCCCCACACTCACCGTCATGGCTCACGCATGAACAATGGTCACTTGAGTGGGGCGAAGGGGAAGAGGGAGAGGAAGGCCAGGGGAAGAGCGAGACCCCAGCAAGAAGAGGCCAGACCAGGATCAGAGAGACACGTGCCAGTGGGGGAGAAAATTAAGAGAGAGAAAAAAATCAGATGCATTCAATTTTAAAAGTAAATGGGTTTTACTCGCTGGATTTTGTATCCAGACACGAACAAGGCTCATTCCAATTTGTCTTTCTTCCTTTGCTAATTCCTTCTGCTCCCCCCCCCCACCCACCTCCCCTTCACTATTAGTTTATAGTTCCCCATCAACGCAGACAGGATGGATCGAGTTACACCATAATTAGGCACAAACTCGGGGTCTGCTTTTGCGACGGGCCGACTGACAGAAAGAAAAAAATGCTGCCAGTCAGTCACAGACCTTTTCAAAGCAGCCCACCCCCTCCCTGTGAAGCCAGGCACCCAGACATGCTTTGTGGAATTTGCCCAATTGAACTCCCAACGGTTACCCCAATGCACATTCAGGGTTCTAAGTCCACAGTCACTACACTATGTTGTAAAATCTGCAAAGAGCTCAGAGACATTCTGACGAGAAGCCAAAAGATTACACATTATTTTACACCTTATAATAATAATAATAATCCTTGCATTGGAAATAGTGTCTTATCACGTCGTGGAGACGTCTCGAAGAGCTTCACAGGATATATACGTGAAGTGGATTTGACTGTGAATTTTGTGGGTGAAACATGGCAGCCAATTTGCGCACAGCAGTGTCCCAGAAACGGTCATAGATTGAGTGACCAATTTCATTTGGGGTGATTTTTGGCCAGAACACCGGGAGAAACTCCCTTCTCTTTCCAAATAGTGTCACTGGATCTTTAACATCCACCTGAACGGGCAGTCAGGAACTCGGTTAAAGGTCTCATCCAAAGGACGGCACCTCCGACAATGCAACACCCACCCCGCCCCCAGCGCTGCATTGGAGCATCAGCTTAGTCTGTGTGATTCTAAGATCTGACGTGAGGCTTGAACCCACAAACTTCTGACTCAGAGGTGAGAGCGCTACCACTGAGTCAGGCGGACCACACGAAATGGAATGTACAAAACAGAAATGTTTAAAGAGCAGCACAAAGTGAAAACAAGATGCTTTATTTTCACTTTGTGACGCCCTTCAAACACAAGGCGGAGAAATTGAGGGCGAGAGTTCCTATGTTTCCGAGCAAAGCGGACGAAATGACGGCTGCTGATGGTGGAAGGGATGAGGATGTGTTTAGGTATTTATTGTTGGTTTTCTCCCGTTGCAGGTTCGAGAGAGAGAGAAAGAGCAAGGCGAGGGTGAGAGAGGGCCTTGTTTATTCAGAGTTGTGTGGGAAGAATGGGACAGGACACACCCAGGGGATGGACAATGACTGGCACAAAAGCTCCGATGGTTCGACGTGTAAAAGGATGTGTTTTTTTCCCTGCGTGCTGCAAATTCCCACTTGAAAATATAATTAGAAGTAGAAAATGGTAAACTATTGCATTAACTGTAATTGAACA